ACCGTAAGGTCCTGCTTCTGTCTCCGGCCGCCTCATACCTGCACAGACTGAGTCTGGCCAGCTCTCGAGAGCTTCAGCGCAGCCGTGAGGGTGTTGATGATGAAGGTGTGCGTCTGCACCGGGCCTCCAGTCTGCCTGTTAAACACAGACACCCCAGCACACACTCTCTCTGTAAGAGCACCGCAGTGTGTGTGTGTGTGTGAGAGACTAACAACATAACAGTGCTGAATTAAGTGAAGTTTGTTTATAAACTAATTTGGAGAGGATCATGTGCTTCTGCTTGACATGACTGGTCCCGCATTAGCCAATCAGGTGATTCCTAACATATTACAAATAAGTTCTCCAGATCTACCTGAGCTCAAACTCCCCTCTCGCCCTGCAAATGAGAGAGACCCCAGGGCTCGAGGATATTCTGAGCTCAGGGCTCTCTCCCGGGACAGCATGCCAAACACTCTTTATAATCAATCATCAGCTGAGTGTGAACTCCTGAATCATGATTAATCACACCCACAATAAATGCTTGTTTTGACGTAAGAGAAGACAGATGTGTGTGCATGTGTATTATATACAGCTGAAGTCAGAATTATTCGCCCCCCTGAATTATTATTTCCCCAATTTCTGTGTAACGGAGAGCAGATTTCTCCAGCACATTTCTAATCATAACAGTGTTAATAACTCATCTCTAATCACTGATTTATTTTCTCTTTGTCATGATGACAGTAATAATATTAGACTAGATATTCTTCAAGACACTAGTGTTCAGCTTAAAGTGACATTTAAAGGCTGCACTAGGGTAATTAGGGTAACTAGGCAGGTTAGGGTAATTAGGCAAGTTATTGTATAACGATGGTTTGTTCTGTAGAATATTGAAAATAAGGCTATATTTAATATTTAACTGTAATAATTTTGACCTTAAAAAATTAAAAACTGCTTTTATTCTAGCCGAAATAAAACAAATCAGACTTTCTCCAGAAGAAAAAATATTATCAGACACACTGTGAACATTTGGGAAAAATGTAAAAAAGAAAAAAATCAAAGCGGGCTGAATAATTCTGACCTCAACTGTACATACTAAAAACTATACAAACCTTTTTTTCATAGATATTTAAATTTCTGTATATTATTCCTCAAATATTTTCCAAATGATGTTTCTCAGATTCAGGAATTTCTCACAGTATTTCCTCTAATGTTTGTTCTTGTGGAGAAAGTCTTATTTGTTTGATTTGGGCTAGAATAAAAGCGGTTTTTAATTATATCAAAGCCTCTTTAAGCTCAATATTATTGGCCCCTTCAGCAATATTAGTGTTGGATTGTCTCCAGAACAAACCACTGTTATACAATGACTTGCCTAATTACCCTAACTTTACCCTAATTACCCTAGTGAAGCCTTTACATGTCACTGTAAGCTGAACACTAGTGTCTTGAAGAATATCTAGTCTAATATTATGTGCTGTCATCATGGAGAAGAGAAATAAATCAGCTATTAAAGATAAGTTATTAGAACTTGACTTCAACTTTGTGTTTTATGTATATTTTCTCAAATATGTGCATGCATTAATGTATTTATATATACATATTAAATATACACAGCATGTATTATGTCAAAACACACTTTTATTTTGAATGTGATTATTAGGGATTAATCTTTGCCCAGCACTAATGATAATTGATAATAACAGATCTCACACACACTAAACACAGGAGAAACACTCGATCAGTGTACGCGTGCAATGCAGAGGTGTGATATTAACAGCTGCAGTGCCTAATTTACAACTAATTATTTTAGACATTTAGAAAGGATTATAAACTGTTGCAAATCGAAATCATTTTAGTTTTAAAAAACGAGAAAATAATCAGAAATTAAAAATTCCAGAAAGGTAAAGAAAATGTTAGTTTTATAGATAAATCATAGTTTTATAGTCTATAGAGTTATAGTTAACAATGATCAGATTATTGTTACAAATGCAATCAGTTTGTAGTAACTAATTAATCACAGATATTTTATAATATTTTACAAATTAAAAGGTAATAATTTATGAAATGTAGCTGCAAATCTAGTTTTATAGTTTTTGAAATGTGAATTTTTTATGCAAACCTAAACTTTGTATAGTTTTAAAATGATTTTAAAAATGTTGCAAATCTAAAGATCGTACAGTTTTTGTAAAGTGGATCTAAAATAATGCTGAGCACATGTTGAAGACATTCAATTCTCTGTTTCTAATCAGACACTATAATGCAAAGGCGTTTTAATGGTACAGTTTTTTTTTGGGGGGGGGGGGGGGTGAGAATGTGAATTATCATTTATAATTACTTTAATTAATAAATATGTTACTATTAC